CTCCTTCAACATAGTTACACCACCGCCATCGCAATCAAGTAGTATTTTGTGACTTTTTAGCTTTTGATATAGTCTTCTACGGGCCGGGCGCAAAAGTGATTCGGTCGTGGGTCGGGCGACAAGCTCTGACCTAGAAGCTCTATTCTCTCTCGCAGCCGAGAGAATGTGGAAAAGCGACTGGGTAGGTTGTCCGTGCGACTGGGGTTCACCGCACCAGTTCGGTTACGGGGGAGCTAATACCTATGAAAATGCACTAGTCTACCAGCCGTTTCTGAAGAAAGAGTTGTATGTTTCCATAGCCAAAGCTAGCGGGGCGGCACGCCTGACGGCCACTAGCTGACCAGTCATGCCCCGGGACACATCGACAAACACGGCAAGTTACCAGCGCAGGGGTGCTCCTCATTCACCAAGCAGCCAAGCAGCCAAGCAGAGCCGAAATTGTATTCCAAGAGTGGTGTGAAAGGTTACTCGCTTACTGCATCTCACTGCCAGAACTTGTTCAATGCAGCAGATCAACTGTGGGTCAAGCAATTCAGAAGCATTCTTGGAACAAGAGAAGGAATGAAAGGTTAGATTCTTAGTCATTACAGAAGCAATCTGTCGGTCGTGTGATCCATTTCATACACCATGGGCAAATTGCCCTCAATCTACTTCTTGGAAGCCAACTGCGTAGCTTAGACGCCAACTCGCCACCAAGATGCGGCTGACTGACTCTACAACGACAGGGCTTCATCCTAGGATGCTTCACAGCCTTCATGAGCTTACTCGGCTGCACAAAGGACGGCCTGGTGGAAATCACAGCTAAGCAGAACGCCAGCTCCACAACATTGAGCCGTCACCAATCTTTGGTAGGGAGACTCTCGAAGCGATTTGGCTGCTACTACGGCTGTTAAAGAAATTATCGGATGAGTATCTAAACAAGCATTGTATTCAGCTGAACACGAAGCCCAAAGGTCTCTAGCTCGATTCAAGTGGCACAACAAGAGGCTATAAGAGGCTCGATATCCTGCTTCTCAATCGTCACGGCAGCAGCTTCTTTTGTCTGCTTCAGTTGCAACAGTCCCGGCCAACTCAAAATGTGCGGTCTTACCACGACTACCCTCGACGGGCTGATCAGTCTGGCCTCTTCTCAGCTGATTGACCTCGATTATGTTGAGTCCGTTCCCGAACCAACCTACACCATTATTCCTAATCAGAGGGCACAAGTTGTCACATACAATCAGGACCCTGCAATTGCTTCAGATGTTGCTGAGGCCTTGCACTAGCCGGTTCCAGACCCAAGAGCAAACGCTCTCCAAGCGCGCTACTGCGACATTCAAAAGCATTGGGAGACATGCCAGGATCTAACCAACAATGCAAATACTTAAATTGCATTACTCAAACCGGCAGAGAGCTTCCTTGCGGATGGGAATCTGGCCAGTCAAGCCTTGAACGCTCGTACACCTGATGGATATACTAGGACGTACCAGAACCTGAAATCATGTGTTCAGGCCAACGGATACATGGGGTTATTTTTACCAGTCTTGCATAGCGTCCCTGGCTGACTTTTAACAGATATACAATCATGTCTAGCTACAATGTTCAGGAATATGCCGATAGATGCTCTCGCACTATTGGCTGCCAAGGCTTCAACACCTACTTTGAACGCAGTCCAAACAAGGTTCCTGGTCCTGCTTACCTCAATCCAGAGGGTGCGGCCAATCCCTTTTGTGTTCTCTGGGGAGTTCCCATCACCCCCGAAAATGCTCGCAACGAGGGTCAATGGCGTGAGCAATATCATGTGGTAATCACGTAAGTTTCTTCATTCATCATGCTCCGGAGTCTGCCTCTGACAACTGGACTAGCGCATCTAACGGATACGTGTTGACTTCGTCGCTCAACCCGCTCTCAAACAAGGCCATCAATGCCCCCATCGACTGCAATAACGACGACTCTTACATGGGCATGAGGCTGGTGAACGACAGCGCTCCCTTCGATCCCCAGCGTTGTGAGGCCATCTGCGAGGCTACCTCGCAATACAACATCGATCACCTCGGAGATGACCCCTCCAAGCTTCCTAGGCTTTGCAAATTCTATAACACTTATATCCTCAACAGAAACTCCTATTCCCAAGGTCAGGTCTGCGCTATGTATACCGAGTCCTAGGACCCCTCAGCCCACGCAGTCAACAATGGCCAATGGCGTGGCGATGACCACTACACAATCTCCTCCAGCGTGTTTTTTCCACAATGCCACTGATGTCACTACCCCGGTCTGTCCAGCCCATATTGATAGGCTTTCGAGGTGATGCCGATGCTGGCGCTTTCTGTACATCTTTCAACTCATACGTTGTGCCTGCAACAAGCACTATTACAAGCTACACTAGCACCACCACCATTGAGGCCTGCGGCGCTTCCACTGCTCCTGCCAAGCTTGATGGGGAATCAGGTGCTATTCTCGAAGCTGTTGTCGCCGTCTACCCTGAAAAGGTAGATAATGCTACGGTCACTGGAAGCGCACCTGCTATGGTAACCATCCCAGCCGAGCAATTGGATGCACCTGGCGTATACGCCTCAGCTTCTTCTGCAGCGATTGCTCAGCTTACAGGATCAGATTCCGACTCCACAACTCCGGTATCCCCTACATGTTCTTCCGCTGCGGTTACCCCCACCAGCACACCTAGCTTTACTAGCCCAGCATCTGCTGCTGGTCTTGTTAAGCATGCAGTAGCAACACCACCGATCTTTGCTGGACGCGACTCCCGAGAGATTTCTAGCGCTTGCTCTCGTATAATCAGCACAGTTACACCAACTGTCACAGTGCAGGCACAAGCTACCGAGACGACCTACAACAACTGTGCCCAATACCCCACTACCTGCCAAAATGATTCACTACCTCGTATAATTGCTGGATCTTTCAGCAGCTCTTCTCAAAGCATCGACGACGGTTACTTCACTGTTGACCTGCCATTTCAGATTTGTATCTATGGGACGTTTAGTACAAGGGTCAACCCTAGTAACAACGGCCTCATCACGCTCGGAGACTATGGCGTAGCAGACTTCTTCAACTATAATATCCCCAATTATATGAGCGGGGCAGTGCTTATGGCCTTCTGGGATGATCTCTTCATTGTTAGGGGCAAGCAACACTACATGGACTATAGCCTCTGCGGAGATGCAGGCCACCGCACTGTGACGTTCGATTGGAGAGTTACTTACTGTTGCGATTCCACAGGCAACGCTATATACAGATTCTTTGCGACATTTTTCGAGAACCATCCTGGTCGCGTGCGATTGAATTACTTTTGTACACCGGACCAGGGCTTCACTAGTGGACGACGTAAGTGTAGGATAGCACTCGCTTGATATGAAATAGCTGAAGTTTTCAGAAACCTTTTACAAGTATTCATACGACCAACCTTCAGTCAACAGTGGCCTCAAACTAATTTTTGATCCTGCTGCCAACTATTTCGGCGAGGCTCGAACTAGTCCTTAGTAGATAACGTGTTTCACCACCGAGCGGCCCACCCCACCGAGCGGCCCACCTCTCTACACTCTTACACCCTTGTAATAGTATTGCGCAACACCACCATAATTTTTATTATTAAGTAGAAAAAGATATTATTCTTCAGACGCGTCGCTATCCTCTATATCCTCTAATTCTACTTAGTAAGTGTAAAAGTTGTGTCTAATTTGGCTGCAACGCCTGCAGCGCCGTTCACTACGTACCCTCTTCGCAGACGTTATACTATTATTATACCTATCGCCCTCTGCCTTAGCGATCTAATTAGCTATCTAGCTAACTATCTAGGACCTCTCTACCTATACGTAGCGCCTCTTACGAGTTTTTTACTTTAT